CCAAAGCCCTGAAATTTGGCACCCAAAGCCCTGAAATTTGGCACCCAGAACCCCTTGGGGTTGGCACCCAAAGGCCCTGTGGTGGTAGCAGAGCCCGATGGGGAAGGCGCCCAAAGACCTGTGATGAAAGCACCCACAGCTCCATGGAAATGTCACCCACAGCCCTGTGGCTATGTCACCCAGACCCCCCACGGCCCTGTGGGGATGGCACCCAGAGTCCCTTGGGGACAGCACCCAAGGTCCTGTGGTGGTAGCCAACAGCCCCGTGGGGACGGCACCTAAAGCCCCTTGGGCGTGACACCCAGAGCCCCACAGGGATGTCACCCAGAGTCCCATGGGGATGTCACTGAAAACCCCATGGGGATGGTACTCAGAACCCTGCGAGATGGCACCCAGAGCCACCTGGGGATGGCACCCAGAGCCCGGTGGATGGGAGCCCTGGGCTCAGAGCTTTGCCCTTTGATGCCCTTCGGCACCACCACAGACGGGGCAGGGTGAGGCCTCTGGGTGCTCCTGGGGACACCAAGCAGCACCCGCCACCAGTTGTGGGTCACCGTCCCCCATGTCATCCCAGCACTGACACCCCCCAAAGCAGCACCCACCTCCCGGGGCCCCGCGGGAGCTCGGGTCAGGCCAAGCCGAGCCCAAAACCCCGAGGGAGGATGGCTGGATGGCGGGTGGCACTTGGCATCCAGGGGACAGTGGGGACAGAGCAGCGATGGGGCCACAAGCCAGGGGACAGGGAGAGAACCCAGCACCGGGGCCAGCTCTAGCCTGTACTGGGCAGAGTGGGAGGCTACTGGTGTGGCACGGGGGCCACCTACTGGGGAGAGGGGACAGCGCACCCCCGGCTGGCTCCCCTAAAAGTGGGGGGGACACACAGCAGAGGGGGTATAGAGCTTTCCCCCCCTTCCTTGCTCCCTCCCCATGGAGGGACAGAGCCCAGAGGGTTGGTGGCCACAGGAGGTGGCACTGGGACGGGGGGTGTGTGTGTCCCCCGCACCCAGCATCACCTGAAGGTGCTCAAGCTGGGTGCTGGCAGCAGGTGGCACTGGCATGACACGGACCCACCACCCTGTCCCCAAGCTGGGTCCGAGGGAGGGGGGACAAACAGCCCTGGCTGGAGCAAGGATGATGGAGAGGAAGGTCTTGCTCAGCTCCAGCAAATTTGGGAGAGCGGATGCAGCAAGTTAAACCAGGACGAGGAGAAGCCACATGCCAGGCTGTTGTCCCCTGCCCTGGACCACCCACAGCGCCGAAACGCCAGCTTGGGGGTCCTTGAACTGCTCCCACTCCCGGTCACATCCCCTGTACGCATTATCCCATTCCCCATATAACATTAAGCCAAATTTCATGCACAATTATACAGAAAACAGCCACCTTTGCCATAATTACCGGCCCAGGACACCAAACACGGCTCTCACGATGGCTGCGGCATCTCAGGCAGCGTTACCTGTAACGACTGGTCCTGCTGCAAGAGGAGACCTTGAAAGAAATCCACCCTATAAGGCTGCGCAACTGGAGGGATGGGGAAGGATAGATGCCCCCATGGCTTCACTGATCCCTCATTTCCAGCCCAAGACACTAAAAATCCACTTTGGTGCCACGGCCGCAGTCACAGGGCATGGAAGGACATCACCCAGCTGCTTGCAAAGAGCTGGAGAAGGAGCTGGCTACCCCGAGCACTACCATCAGCGTGTTGGGTGTGCACAACAACCTCTGCTTCCACCTCCAGCAGATCATCTCCAGGCAGAAGATGTCCTGGAACGGCTTTGATCTGGCACAGATGTACCACGGGTGAAGTGCTGGAGGGATGCCGAGTCAACGCCGCAAGGTCCAGGGTCTCTCCTTGCAAGCCCAAGCTCTCAGCGATCAAGCACCAGCCAAGCTTCAAGGTATATACATATTTTATTTTAAAAAAAGTTTACAGTTCTTTAATTATACACAACTATTGGAGAGGTTATACTCTTAGAGAAGAGGCATTTTGTCAGGGTGGCAGATGTGCCCACTACATCAACAACGCAAGAAAAAGAGGAGGAAAAAAAGAAAAAAAATAAAAATTAATAAAGAGCCGACTCAAAGGGCAAAACACCCCTGATCTCTTCAAGTATCACACGATAGGTACCAAACACAGGCAGTAAAATCATGGCCATTTCTCATGCTGCAAACACCCCTGCTAAAGTGCCAGCAGAACTTGGACGAGCGAAAAAAAGCAGCAAAAAAAAAAGAAAGAGAATTGTCAAACACCTCCCAGCCTTCCCGCCGGTCTGCGAGGAGGGTCCCTGCTCGATGGAGGACCCCTGCTCGATGGAGGACACCCACCAGGCGGGGATGGGAAGGGGAGCTCCATCTCCCCGGCACGTGTCAAGGGATGGGTAGACGTGGGAAGAAGAGAGATGGGCTGAGGTTCAACCACAGACGTGGTGGAGACAGGAGGATGAGCCCATGTCACACCGGGCTGATGGCAAAGCTCTGCTCCAGCCTGTCCCTGTGCCGGCATCCTCCTGCTTCCGCCAAACCGACCTGCGGGTCAGGAAAAACTCAGCATGGAGGGTCACCAATGGGCCCCGAGGCACCAGGTGCCACCATGGGGGGGGACTTGGCCACTCAGCTTTTCACGTCACACAAAAAAACCTCGAGAGCAAAAGGAGATGTTACAGGAACAGAAGCCAAAGGTTGTTTCCAAACCAACGCCGATGGGCTGTGGCACGTTTTGGTAGCGGGGGAAACTCAACGCGGGGTCATCACGGGCTGGCTGAGAAATTCCCATCACCCCAACAGAGCACAAGGTGACACCACCACTGTTTTCTGAAGAAGAAGAAAAAAAAACCCTCAAAATGATCATGAAAAAAAAAAAAGAGCTCTCTTGCTTCAGTATGGCTCCACCTTTTCTTCCAGACTACGTAGGTGTAGTTTTATTTACAAACAGTTTGGGGGGGGGAGAAGTCTCTTTTGGGAGAAGGAGGCAAATTTGGAGAAAAAAAAGAAAAAAAAGAGGTGAGAAAGGAAGGAGGGGTGCAGGGCCTCCGGGGACAGGCGTTCCTCACCTGCAGAGCAGACCCCAGACCACCTCATCCCCATAGAGCATCTTTTCAACATCTATTTTTTTTTTTTTTTCCCCGCAAGTAGGATTTTGGCAGCCGGGTTTTTCCTCCACCGCCTCCGTGCCGGGGCGGTGAGTTTTGCCACAGCTCGGGAACAACATCCCTGTTTAACAGAATGCGCTTTTCACAAAAGTCAGGGGGACCCGTGCGAGCGGTTCGATGCACTAAATCCCAGTGAGGGGATGGAGTGAGGGGGGGGAAGAAAAACCTGCAAAGGAAGGGGGATGAGGTAATTAGAACACTTATTTTTATACAATATTGAAAAAATACAAATTTTTATTGTGATTTTTTTTGGTGTTTTTTGTTTTTGTTTTTTTTTTTGTTATGTTTTGTGTTTTGTTTGTTTTTTTTTTTTTTTTTAATCTTTTAAACTGATATCACCACCCAGCACTTACTCTACTCCTAAGTAGCACCTACAGTAAAGGTTATAGCACAAGCAAACTGCCAGGTCAGCAGGTAAGCAAGTTAAACAGTGCCAGCAAAACGTGGCCCCTCCCTCCCCAAAGTAATGAGAAAAACAGCGTGCTAGATAAGAGTTAAGTACACCATTACATGTTAAATAGTTAATATTACCCTTCCGACAAGCCACAAATGCTAGATAGAGAACTTCAGCACAGTCACTAGCCACAGCCCTAACATTA